TACCTTGTTTTGCAATGCCAAATGTCATACCTCCAAACTCTACATCTTTGATCTACCTGCAGAGTCATAACTAAAGTTAAAACGTACAAAAGTAAAAGTACAAAAGTAAAAACTGGCTTAGGCTTTGTTATTCACATTTGGCACCTGTTTTTGGCTTTTCTCAATTCCAAATCCCCGTAAAACTTGAAAAAATTTCTAAGCCGACCTTTCTAACAGCTCTTTTATGATTTTTTTTATCATAGTGACTAACCAGCATAACTTGTACTACTCGTACTTCCCACATAATGCGAAGATTTCCTGCTGCTGTCAAGCTCTTATGTCTGCTTCCTAGTCTTCCATGCATTCGTAAGAATGCAAGCTCACGTTTACAAGTAAATTGTTTTGAACTGTCACATGTCAAAACGAATATATTAGGTTGACACACATTACAACTTCCCCTACAACTTTTCTACTTAGAAATTTTGTGCTCTCATTTTTGATATCGTGCCGCCGCTGAAGTCCTTATTGCACAGTTGAAATGACGACCGCAAATCTCCCATGCTTCAGAAAGGCCACCCAAAGTGGCAGTCGACCGGCCGGTTTAGGTGACTTTTAAGAGCACCGCCGTGCCGCCGGAAGGTAATGGGTCGGATGGTCAATTGCCGTAGATAGTGTTGTTAAGGTGGAAAGTTGGAAAGAAGTCCCGTAAGTTGCACGTGAGTAACTTGCGGAAAACGGTAGTTGAGGTAGCACTACGGACTCCATTGCTCAAAGCTTTACAACTTGGGTGGTCTACGGATAGACAGAACCGATAACAGCTGATCGCAGCAGTAAAAGAAAGATTTCTTACATTTTTTTTGCAGAAGATGCTTCATTTTGGATCATGCACAATAGAATGTTGCATCAGGTTGCTACATATAGGGTGCGCCAAAAGTATTTGCTTTAACTTTGCATGAGCGCTGCAAAAAAAACTACTCATAGTTTTGATTTCAGAATATATGTGGTAGAATGCTGCAATCATCCTGTACAAAACAGCGCTTTATGAGTCCAAGATGATTGCCGTACCTTTGTGCAAATAATGAAATTGTCGAACTAATTTTAATAGGCGCAAAAACCTAATTTTCGATAGTTATAATTTATTCCCTCACTGAAATTTTGAGACATTTTCAAGGGATTTTATGTCTAGAATGTAGAGGAGGCTTTGCGCTATCAAATCGTAGTACTTGCGTTTGCCAACAATTATTCTTCCAAAAATGGCAACAAAAAGTACGCAAGTGCCACCCGCGTGTCAGTGGCCTTTTGTTTTCAAATCACATTTGTAAGCTACAGAAACGTGCCTGTCACCGGATTCAATGTTATAGTGTTTCACAAAGCTTCTAATAAATATTCAGTTCTTTTCCACTAATGAAATTGAATTCCAACCTAATTTGGAGTCAATTTCTGCTTTTCTTTCGCTCATTCGCACCCCTAAAATGTGCAGTTTTTGAACATGTAGCAAACACATGACTTTGTTTAAACGTCGATAGTTTTCTTGTCAGACCATCCTTGATTTTGCGCTTATAGTATGTTGCAGCCGAAAACTTGCTCTATCATGTGATTCGTTCCTTGCATCACAGGAGCATTTTTCTACAAAGAAGCAGAAGATTCTCTGAAAAAATACCTGCGTGTTGCGCGCAACTCAATCAGTAAGATATTTTGTGATTTTTCTCAAGCCACGTTTAGAAATTCCAATTTATGCTAAACCCTCTTAAAATTAAAACGTTACTGAAAAAGAAATAAATTTTTGCCGATCGCTGATCTCGTCTTGCACAAGTTTGCGTTGCAGAATACACGCGCAAATAATTCTGGCGCCCTGTAAGTTCTGTCCCAGTTGAATATTAGGATTCAAAATGTCATAGCTTCTTTCAAAGCCAACTTTTTTCCATGATCTTAGTTTCTATGTGCTGAACATTTCCTTTGCTATCAAAAAAATTTCAAGATTTACAAAAAACCCTGTCTAGTAACACTGTTTAATAGCCTGTCTTTGTAAGAAAAAGCAAGAATTCGAAAACTTCGCAGCGTTTCTCTTCAAATCTGTCTTTTTCGACATGGCAATGCGAGAACGAGAACGGACGGGTATATTAGTCCATGAGTAGGTAGAAAAATTTTCGTAGATTATTTTATAACTCAAAAGATATATAGGACCAAAGACACCAAAGATCCCATAGGATCTTTGGTGCCGACAAATTTTTTGGCCGAGCAAAAACAAAGCCGCCTTTTAACCTCGCTTTAGTATATGTGTACATGCCTGTTTACTAATCTTGAAACTTTTACAATTGACGCAATCGGTGAGAAGTAATTGGTGGGGGGGGGGGCTTATTGCTCTTGCCTTACTCTAGCACTTCCAACTTTGAACTCATCGTACTTCTATTTGCAGGAAGTTATAGTATCCAAAACATTTATACAACAAAATTAAATTTGACAACAAGTTTGCTAGCAAGGCGTTTTCCCCATAAACAACTTGTGTATATACTAGATTGTTACACCCCTATTCCACAACCAACAAAAGGACTTGTTTTGAAAGCCGTGTTGTGGAGATTTCTCGCAAGAACCTAGAGGTGAAATTCTTTTAGAACAGCTGCTTTTAACATAAAACAAAATAATCGGACAGAACCTATGCAGCAGCCTAGTTCCAACAACTATTTTCTCTGCAGAAATTCACGTTAAATCATCGTAATTTCGTTTTTTTTTTCGTTTAATGTCTGCGTTTGTCCGGCGAATTTTGTAGCGGTCATCATTGATTTTTCGATAGTGGCAGCTATAAAAAATTTCGGGCAATATAACAAAGATTATATCACCAGCCATCTCTGAATCATGGCCACATTAACGATGGCAGCTCTTTCATTCACTCGACTAAATTGTTTCCTCGATGACACGCACACCTACTAAGCAATATGCATCCATATTAGCTCGAACGCTAAATTGTAGACCTATAACGTTATAGGTTTGCCTCAACTAAACAAGAATGCTAAAGCGTTACTACAGGTCATTATATAGAATGTGCACAAACCTTTTGACTTCTGCTCTTAATAGCCTCACAGAAAAAAAATTTGAGCATATCAAAATCTGTTGAAAATCTAGGTATTAATCCTTGTTAAGATCAGAAATCATACCTTGACCTTACGAAAGAGCTCATTTTATGCGGATTATCATTTGTAGCCAGTATGTTATATAGACAACCCTTAAAACAAGTTTTAGCGATGAGGCAAACTGAAGATTTTACTTACCCTTGTACGTAAACTTACCGTAACCTTACATGTGACAGCGTAATTCTGCAAAAAATGGCTGCATTCGTAGCCTACATTACGGTGTTCATAATATGCTGGTAAATAAAAACACCGCCTTTAAAAGACAGAAGATGTGTGCCAGCATCCAACACGCCTTCTCGTACTCCACGCTCTCTTCTCTTGCTCTCATTTGCAGTCTGCATCTTACCATCACCGTATTTATTGCCGTTATTATTTGGTAGTATGGAAGCTTGGCTTTGCTATTAGAATTTGAATTCTCTGGTGAAATCTGTTTTGTTTGGGTTGCAAATGTTTAATTTACACCTTTAAGCTCGGATGCGCTTAATCTTTTTAAAGAGCAATTGTCGCTTTCAAGTATACCTTAATGTATGCTCATCCTCTTCTTCCATTTCATTTGCTCAAAAAGTAAAGACAACTTTCGCTTCTAAACTTTTCTTTGAGGTGCATGAAATGGATGAAGATAAGTGCGGCATTTTGTTTATGCGGTCCTTCATTACTTCTTCAACTTCAGTGCAAGCTATGGTAAAGGGACATAATTTGTCTGTCGCTCCCGCAGAACTTTTCGAAGCGAACGTTGTTGTTTTTATACGTGTCTGAGAAAACATTGTTTATTATACTAGATCTGAAACGCTTGTAAAATTCGACTCGCTCAAATTTCAGGGAGGAGCTGCCTTTATGCATTTATAAGATAAGCTTAGTAGTCAACATTTTCTCATATATTCGCGAGAAGTAGTTTTTTTCGAGTGTTGAGGCTATATTCGATCGACAACAGCTTATTATTTTTCCCTAGATAACAAAGACTTTTTCTGAGCTCGTTAATAGGCTTCTCGTTAGACTGGGGGATTTGTAGACTTCGTAGACCCCCTTTCGCGCTGCAAACCTCTGTCGTCGCTTACTTAGGGGGTTTACTATAATTACTACCAAAGCCAGGTACCGCCCAGTCTGGTGGACGCTGCCTTTAAGGTAACAGTTCGTAAAAAAGCGGGCAGCGTATTTGGCTTGATACCTACAACTTGGGAGTATCTTGAACTTGGAGAAGGCGTGGTCTCATTACAATGTTTTACCGCCACTTACTGCTTACTGTTGGCGTCCCAGCATATTCCTGCGCATATCACACTGAGTGCTAGACTAACTTTCACAAAAATGTCTGTACCATTAAGATGTTATGTGATATTCAAGAACTTCGTATTTTAAGTGAAAGCATTAAAAACTAGCTTTTCTACTCGGTTCATATGCGAAACCTTTGGGATCAACTTCATTGCACTATCTTATTATGTTATAAATCGTCGTTTTGATCACTGTAGTAGCAATTTCCTTTTTGGGTTAAACAGAAAATAATGCATACGTGACTTGAAATTTGCCATATTCTCGACTATTTGACCCTTAATTACTACTGCCTTGAATGATGTGAGGAGCTTTAACGTAAGCTGAGCACTGTCTTGAATTCTTCTCAAGCAGTTTTTTTTTCACTCCTTTCTTGAATAGTCTAATAGAACCATTCATTATCTCATCAGGCATTCCCATCAACGTGACGTAGTGTAATTTACGTCAGTTATTCTTAGACAAAATTTCTCGCATCAACAATCTTTCTTCCGCATCTGAGATTCCTTTGATAGTGAGCACCAGTTTGAAAATCAACAATTGTTCGCGAGAGAATTAATGAGCTGAGAACCCGTCATTTACTCTGTTACACCATAATTGATCACTGACATGGCGTTTAGAGATTTCAGCCAAATGGTTTCGCCAGCTTTTCTTTTGATAACATGTCTTCTATCCCTTTCCTCTGCAAAGCATAAGCATGTGAGTTGTTGCACTGGAATTGTTGAACTTTTTACAACATTCTATGTTCAGGATCGATCACAGCGAGCAAATCTAGCAGCATGGAAAACCACCGGTAAGGCTCAAAGTGCTATATTTGACTTGGTACTACATTTTAAACTAGTGCAGTTAGATTGAAACATAAACCATTAATTGAATCCTCGCCCCTACTTTTTACCTTACAGAACACAATACCTCTTCTTGAGAATTTGCAATTTTTTCAAGTTCTTGTGCAAAATTTCGCGCTCTGGCACCATTCAAATAGAACAATTATAGTGTCATTTCAACATGATTATAAAAACTTGATTACAATCGTTAGCGCTAGAACATCTCAGCACTAGTTTGACAAATACATGAAAAAGTTCGTTTTCTCGATTTCTAGCTGACAGAAAAATACAGCAACTGCATAGAGAGTTTTCTTGGTTTTTCGGGGCGCTTAGATTTTTTTGTTTTTGGCTTCAATCTTCGCTTGAGTCAAAGCTGCTGCAAAACTTTAAGCACTTCTTTGTAGAGCTAGGTTTGCTCTATCTAATAATGTGTCGAATCCTATTTGAGATATAGGGTTATCCCGGATTATTGCGGCCTGTACCTATTTTGGTGCAAGAATTATGCATCAACCTAATATTAGCAATTTTTGCAAAAAAACCAGCTTTTCAGTACGTAGAAAATTAGAAATTTCTATATTCGGGATTTGCGGTACATTGAAAAAATGTTGAAAATAGTGGAAAATTTTAAATTTCAGTTTTTTTCTTCCTCGCAAACTTTTTATCCAAATCGTTTTTATTGTGTTTGGTACTACTGGCCTGCGACCTACAAGATAGGCCACTCACCATTCACACTAACAAACTTTGAGGGAAGTGAATTGTCAAAAACAAGGTTCTAATAGAAGAACCTTTTTTGTTTTTCAGTCCATATTTTTCTGCCCGTTCGTGAGCATAAATGTGCGTATTGCAGAAGGTTTGCTGCTTCTGTTGATCGTTACCGCATTCATAAATGTTAATATATCTTTCAAAAAGTTATAGCACGTCAAAGTAAGAATTCGCAAAACGGCCATTATTTTTGCGCCAATTAATATTAGGTGGGTTCGAAAGTTCGTGCCGTTTTTAGACCTGTTATAAATATAGTTCAAAATGATAGCAGACGATAGATAATCTTTTAAACAACTTCCGATGCAGAATTTCTTCCCCTTTCCAGCAGCTATGTTTACGTTGTGACCATTTCGACGTGCGCTGAGAAATTGCCGAAAACTAGAATCTTTCATTTTTTTTACCATGTCCAACTTTCGCTAATTTTCAGAATTTCCGTTTTAGACTTTTGAAGGTGCTCTATTATCCTTCTGATAAGTCACACCTTTTTCAAATTAATGCATTTTTTGCAATTCCTCATCTTCTTTTTTAGAATTTTGCTGAATTGTTTTATCAGAGCATTGAATTTTGAAGAAAAAAAAAACGTGTGACACATAATTGCACCAAGTGTTCTAAAACCTCGGTTATTGCTTTCACTACGGTTACGAACGATTGAGCGATTACGGCATAAAAATGGAGAAATTTTGGAATTTTGACCTCACCTTTGCGCACATGTAAAATTGAGATGTACAGCGGTGTTTGCAAAAGTTGCATGTTTTGGGAAGAAAGGGTATCCTCTATTTCCCACAGTATAGCGGGCGGAGCTCTGCCGACGTTTGCCAGCGTATCCGCATGGCAGTTTTTGATACCGAGTATAGAGTACAAAAAGTAATGCTTGAAAATGGAGGTTTAACAAGTTTTCCAACGTGTTAAAATGTCTGCAGGGCCACGCCCGCTATACCCATGGAAATCGCCTGTAGCTATCGGAAAAAGGAGGAAAGGATGCATGAATGGTACCTGAACTGTTCAATGTTCTGGTGTATTGCGAAGTTAGAATGATCCAAATATAGAATTTGGGCACTTCAGAAAATGTATTTTAGTAATACTAGAAAGCATGCCAGAGAGATGCAGAAAACTGCATTAATTTGAAGAAGGTTTTCTCTATCAGATGTTAATTGAAGCACCTTCAAAAGCCTAAAATGAAAATTCAGAAAATTAGCGTAAGTTAATACATGGTAAAGAAATGTTCTCTTTTCGGCAATTTCAGCGCTCGTTGAAACAGTCACAACAGAAATATGGCTGTTGGAAAGAGGAGGATATTCTGTAGAACATTTTTTGGAATGTTTGTCTATCTTTATTCTGAATGATTTGAGAATAGGTCTAAAAAACGGCACGAACCTTCGGACCTACCTCCCTTCAGAAATTGTGATAGTTATCGAAACAGTGATAGTATATGTAATTGATCTTTGCCGTCTTATTTTGGGAAGAAAAAACCAGTTCTTAGAAAGTTCTATAAGCAAAAGATAAACATAATTGCTTAGTAAATCGCCACAAAGTAGCCTATACAGGGTCCCCCCAAAAAGTGTGCACAACGTTTCACTGCTAATGACTCCATTGTTTCAATGTCTTTCACAAAAGTTCACTCTGTAGAGCTGGCTAAAATTAGGCTTATAGTATAAAGCAAATCACCAGTCTTTTTTCATTTCCCTTGTTCAACGCACACAAAGTTTATGAAACACATAACGCATGAAATACATATCAACAGGTATGCTTACAAGCTTTGAGTAGACTATGTAAAAGTGAATTCTATTAAACTTTTAAAGTTGTGAAAAAAATACGCTGTAAAATTTTGCATTATCAACAGCATCTTTTAGCGAAATTCGATATGTTGGGTTGTTGGATGGTTCTGTTTTTTTTCTCAACTTCAAAAATAAATACTTTGTTCATGTTTTGATTAACTTTTACATTTGGGCTGTAGACTATAGAAAATAGTAGTTAAGTGCCAAAAGAACTGCTGACAGCTAATGATAATTCAGAATTATATTCAGCCGACTTCTCTAGTTTGTTCACCAGTCTGCCGCATAACGTGGTCAGATCTAATCTCAAAAAAAATATCAGGCTGGAAACTAAGTTTTGCAACTGCTTTCATAACTCAACTCCCTTTGTATGTAGCGCACTCAAACTTGGGCAATATGTACAGCGTAGTGTGGACTACAAATGACCAAAGTTGCTTGATTTTTGAAAACGAATTAGAAAATTTCCAGGCATTTTTCGATACTAGTAAATTTTGAGTATTTTTGGGGTTTTGAGGCAAAATGAAATTGATAGCAGTCTAGACCACGCGCAATCATCCGGAATCGTGTGCTTATTGTTGCTAGAGGTTGGTTTATTCAGCTTATTCAAGAAAGAAATAGAATTTAGGGCCAAGTCGAGATTTGGCGCCTTTTGATTTCGAAACAGTTGCCGTACGCAAGGCTGCTAGGGACAACAGTCAATGACTAAGGAGTTAGAACCACGAAATCTCCAAGTCTTTACATATCAAGGTTCTTTGACCTGCTAAACACGAATATCATATTTATTTGTTGAATCAACATTTCTTTCATTGTTTAGGGTGAAAAGCTATATCGTACACCTACAGTGACCTTTCAAAAAAGCCTTTATCGCGCAATTTCAGTATTGTTTTCATGATCAGCATGTCGGATACCCCTCCCATGCCAAGTTTCAGCCGAATCTATCGAGTTTTACAATTTTTCCCTTCATACCATATACCTACCGTAACTCTCACTGCGACGTCAGAATTTGGCAGAGCAGCAGCTGCGTTTGTAGCTTACGTCATAAGCAACATAGTGGCAAAATTTAAGTGCGCCATGTTGAGTGAGAGGAAAGTTATCGAATGAGTTGCAGAGCTTAGTTTCCAACCTAATATATGTTACTAGCTGGCGTACCCGGCTACGCCCGGGCTACTTCTTTGAATTTAGCAACATATAATGTTCAAACAGCTTCACCTGCTATGATCTCTATGACCTATACACAAAATGTTTCACTTGCGAACAATGATTCGATTTGATCATTTTAATTGATTACTAGATTTGTTGTTTTGAAAGTAATTTTTGAAAAATGTAACTCAAATTTATAGATAAAATCACATAGTAAAAGCTTAGTAGTACGAAATGGAATAAGGGTACAGATCATATTGAGGAAAATACAACACTTCCATCTATTCTTGCTACTTTGACATTTCTGTTGGGATTTTCTGAAAAAGTGTGCTCATTTCACTCGACAGGTTTGCTTCCCACGAATACAGTAAGCATAGTGGGATGGGAGTGATTAGTATATCAATCACAATGAGAACATTTTTGTCGTGCCGTCCTCCGATTAATTGCTTTCTATCTATCTCCAACACCTCCGCCCTCATCACCGTAAGTTTAACAATGCCTCCATTTCTTAGCATTTTGCTCCAAGTAGACTGCGACAAAAATGAGTGTAGCGTGAATTTTGTTTCCTTGTATCGCTACTACATCAAGGATCCTTCAATATTCGCACGTGTTACGACAAAGAACGTTGCTCTAATCATATAATCAAATGTATTTATGGATGACTGTCACTAATGCTGTTGTTTTCAATGCTATAGTTTAGATTCACAATAGTAGATCCAATTGACATACAGGGCCTATCAATGGCAGTTTGGGTGCACCAGTATCTCTGCTCCTGCGCGGGACTCTGCACTTCTTTCGCGAACATGTTCACGCTTCTTCCGGGAAATCGACTGATACTCCGTCGTTTCCACGCTCGCGGTGAGAAAGTGATCAAAGAGTATGATTGCAATAGACGCAAAGTCCAGGCGAAGCGGCCTAGCGAAAGCGGAGAGCTGGTGCGCCCGACACTGGATTTGATAGGCCCCCTACATGCTAAAATAGAAGTGACATTGAGAATTGGCGCCCATGATGCTGCGAAAGGATCTTACACATTTCAACGTAAGCACGAACTTCATCTTAAAACTTATAAGAACCTACTTGAGGTGCACTTTCTGTCGCCGCGGTTTGCATGCAAAACTCAAAATGGGACGTACCGCTACTATTCACTCACATCAAACAAATGATTTGATAAGCCCTTCATTTCCTAGATTTACGTAAGCAAGACAATCCTACTATAATAACGCGCTAAGGCCGTCTGTTTTTTTGTGTGTCTGTCTGTGTGTCTGTGTGAAAATCTGTCTGTCACGAAATTCATA